GGAAACTCAGATGCAACAGCAAAATGAGAAACAATCGAAGCACGTAGATTCACGCAAAGATAAGAAACAAGCGAAGGTAAAATGCTGTACAATATTGAGTTATTTATAACTGTAATGTGCAACCGAGTGTCTTCAGAAAATGCTCATGTTGTGTTTGAGCAATAAAAATACAGCAGACTTTGTGTTTTAAATGTCTTCCATGACTGTATGTATGCAACCTTAAATGTAGTACAAACCAGACAGATATATCTACAAACTTCTCACCTGGCTGGAGAGCAGCAGCGGCGTCAGCTGCGTCTGCGTCGGTGTTCACCGTGGGGCTCCGTCGGCTCCGAAGCGGCTTTACATTCGCTCCACTACTGACAAAAACGACTCATTCCTCACGGCTCCATTGAGCTGCCGCTGAATATTGAAATCTGAAGCAAAGAAAAAAGCCGGCATCTTTTTTTAGTTAACGGCTCGTTTGTGTCTTCCATCACTTCCGTGTTGCAGCGAGTTTCAAACGTTGCGCCTTCATTTTTCTTCTCTCTCCGCTGCGTCTTGTCCACGCCCTCAGCCAATCAGTGAACAGCAGCGAAGCTTGCGTCACCTACCAAACCAGGGCCGGCCCGGCTGGCCCTGCTCTGAAGCAGGACCCTAAAAAGCAGGGCCAGCCCCGTTGAAAAGGGCTGGTGGAAACGCATTTAAAGCGAGCCGAGCCGGCCGAGTAGAGCCGGTGGAAAAGGGGCATTAGTTTGCGAATGCCTTGGGCCGGCCATGCACTGTTCATATTAGTCTCGATGTTTTCTGGAGTGAAGATCGATGTCATTCACAACAAATATATTAACTTGACATTAACAAAGACAAGCGGTACGGATCATCCGGGAAATGATGGACAGGAAGGGTCTGACGTAAACGACCTGGATGACAGACAAACTATGGGATTTATTATGTGTCTCTGCTTATTTCCAAGCCCAAATGAGTAACTTCACGTTCAAAAACGAGCCCCAAAAGCACAACCCTCGACTCATCAAATATACAAGCGACTTTAGAAACAAAACAACCCCAAAGCCGCTTATAATAATCTAACTTGGCGACAGAAACTCAAAATAGTTCCTGTTTTTCCAGCAATGAAATGCGCATCTCTCTCCTCTCTCCACTGTTTCTGTCGCTGCTGACTCTCGCGGCGGTCACTCCCCAAGATGCGTAGAGGAAATAAAATTAAATTGCAATAGAAAATAGTAACGCACAGTAATGCAAAGTGATTTTGTGAAGTAGTCTGACTACTGGATTTGAAATAGCAACGTGTTACTCGTTACTGAAAAAAGTGGTCCGACGTCAGTAACGCGTTACTTTGTAAGGCGTTCATGACGACACTGGTCATAACTTTTACATGATAACATATAAATAAAACCCGAGGCAAAACTTCTACATTTTCAGGGATTAACTTGTGACTAGGGCTGTTCTGACACCTGTCATCACATCAAATCAAATCAAATCAAATTTTATTTGTATAGCACATTTTGTAATTGTCTTTATGTTTCTCTAAAGATTCAGAGTCCATCGCTGATGTCTAGTTTCTAGCTGTAACAACTGAAGCTGTTCAATGACTCTAGATCAAATAACTTCAGTTTTGTTTCTGTTCAGCTGGAGAAAGTTTTGGCACATCCACACATTGATCTGTTCTAAGCATCTATTCAGTGATTGGATGGGTTCAGAGTCACCTGGTGACATCGTGATGTAGAGCTGTGTATCATCTGTGTAGTTATGGTAGCTGATCTTATTTCCTATTATAACCTGTGCCAGTGGAAACATACAGATATCGAATGAGATGGCTCATTGGGGTACACCACATGTAACTTCTGTCCGCTTCGATGAGAAGTTTCCTGCTGAAACAAAGAAATCCCTATCTTTAAGATTTGAACCAGTTGAGTGCTGGAGAGTCCTACCCTTCTCTCCAGTCGTTCCAATAATATGTCCTGATTAACAGTGTCAAAACCGCTCTGAGGTCCAACATAACCAGCACTGTGGTTCTTCCACAGGTTTTTTTTTTTTTTTTTTTTTGGCCATGAGGCAAAAGTGCTTTTTATACTGGAAATGAATCGGCATTGTAACAAAGCGCCGCCACTGACGTAATTCTGACAAATATCTACTCATCAGAAAAGCCTTTTCATTTATAGCTCGGCTAGACTCGCCATCTAGTGTTAGAATTGCAGAATGCATCCCTTTGATGCGGCTCTCTGATTGGCTTCAACATTTTCAGCTGATCTTAACTGCAGGGTTGACTGATTACCGTACTTATTATCAGGTGTGTCAGCTGTGATGTTTCACTGACTGTCTGCACTGCAAGTGTTTACTTTGTCCTGCTGTCAGCAAGGTACAGGAATTCTTCCTTTTTGTTCATATTACTGTTTTATTTTAAGTTTATCTCTTGTATTAGTGTCAGACCTAGTTCAGAGTGTGAAGTTTTCATCTTTTATCATACCCCATTCTCACAGAAAAACACTATTTTAGGGATTTTTTTTATCACAATTGTAAGTTTATGTTTATCTTTGCAGCAACATTTGTCTGTACATCATGTACAAAATTAACCTATATAAATATATATATATATATATAATGTTTCATATGGAAGATATATTTTGAGGCTTTTATGTTGAATTATTTAACTTTAAATGGGTAAACTTTCAATTGTTAAACTTGATGTCTGACAAAATAAAATCCACAATATTTTGGGTAAGCTAAAAGTTCTAACATATGAAGTCAGTTTGTTTGCTAAATGGGCTCATATAAATCTGACTCAATAGACAACCTGGTTGTTTTTTAAAATGTTTTATTTTTTTTTTTTTTTTTTTCCTCCCAGGAGTATTCTTCTTTGCTTTGAGACCTTGTTGGGTATGTAATGAAGATCTAGATGATGGAATTTATTTTTCATTTGCTAGAACAGTGTTGCACAACTAACTCCACTTTCCTAATCCTGTAGTCTGAATATGGCAGCGATTAACAGACCACTTCCAGCTCATTGTGAACCTGATGCAAGGAACCCCAGCAGTGGTGTTGCATCCTTTGCACAGCAGGATCCAGGTCCACACAGCACTGCTCAGGATCCGGTATTTTCTCCACATGCCCAACATCCCATCTTTGCCCGTCCTGTTTTCTACATTCCTGCACCACCTCCACCCCCTTTACTTCAATACCAGTGGCCAATACCCTTCTCCTATAACCCCTTTGCTGGCTTCCCAAGCATGGGTGAGTAATGAGTCCTTTAGCAAGTGTGTGTGGTTTACAAGTTAGATTTGGTCTCAGATTTACATAAATTATCCTAACCCATAAATTTCAAAAAGCTACTTTATTCCTTCTATTTCACAGCAAAATATTTCTGAAAAAAAAAAAAAACACAAAAAAATCCTTTTTTATCTTCTAGGCTATGGTATGATTGCACCACCTCCCCCACTGCCCCTCCCCACTTACATGGAAGCTCCAGGATATATTCTCCCTCACCCTCATGTTCAACCAGTTGATTACAGGCGCATGCACCACTCACAGTCATACACTCAAGGTGCAGCCCATCAGAACCCTAATCAGATGCGAAGAATTCGCCCAAATCATTTTATCCCTGTAAGAGAAACTGTGAATTCTGAAGTTCAAACTGAGCCTGCACAAAGAGGCATGCACGGGTATGACATGGGCTCAGATTCTGGGAGGGGAAGTCGTTCAAATTCTCCATGCTCCCCAGCCTTAAGTTCCCCCAAGCAAGCCTTAACTGAGGTGGTAGTCTGCAAGTCGCCCAGCAGAGAAGAAAAAGACTTGCAAGTGAATAAGCCCTTCACAAGTACCACTGTCATAACAGACTTTCAGAAACAACCTGTTGAATCATCTGGAAGCACAAGGCAAGACACACCAATTACTACTGACCAGGAGCCTATCCCTGACTCGCTTTCTAAAGATGGGGATTACAATATGAGGATAAGGTCTCCAGATGGTTTACTTCCAGTGTCTAGCTCGTCTCAGAAAGACGATGAGGTCCTTAAAGAAAGGCGCATCTCTGTTCCTGACATTTTGATGAGCTGGGGAGGTGGAACACCACAAACAGCGCTGCTGAAAACAACAGATGTGGGGTTGTCCCATACTGATATTTGGACATCTTCTCAGCATGATGTTGAGCTCAACAAACCTTTATCCCACAATTCCACTGAAACAAACACTGGTTCTATTAAAGGACTTGGCACTGGTATTAATGAAGGTACGGCAAGTCCAAAAGTTAGTGAAATGCTCTTCAGAAGCCTTCGACTCCCTTATTCTACAATCGACGCTTTCCTGGAGTCTAGTACACATGAGGAGCCTGTAATAAGCTTTTCAGAAAGACATTCATTAACTTTCATAGATGACGTTCAACATTTGCAAAATTTCTCCAACAACTCTAAAACTGAGGTGCAAGAAAATCACAGTGGGACATATCTACACAAGGTGTCAGATGTTGCACCTCATATGTCTGCTTGTAGTTGTCAGGTGAAGAGAAAATCCAATGAATCCATCTGGTCTGTGGAGTCTCTGCCTGCCTATGTCCCTACTAGAGAGTGGCTATTACAAAATGGCATGTTAGAACTTAAAGTTAATGAAGAGACGGAGAAAGCTGAAAATGTTGGACTCTCCAACCAAAATGAGAACCTCATGAATGAAGAAAAGGGAGGGTGCAGCTTGTCGGCCTGTGTCTCTGTTCAAGTACCAGAAAGCTGCCTTTGTTCCAGTATCCAAGAAGAGGAGCATAGTCCCGTGAGAGAGACGGGAACAGAAATTAAAGGGGATGTATCTGAATCTATAAAACCAGAACAAAGTCAAAACTTGCCTCACTCAAAAAAGAATGTCTTGTCTCCTTCCTCCGCTCTGCCAAGAAAAGCTGCATCTACTCCGACTGAAAGGGATGAGACTGAAAATAGGTCTTCTGAACTTGAGGTTGGTCAAAGCCCAAACCAGAACACCCTGATAAATGAGCTGCAGCAGAAAAGCCTTTCATCCTCTGAAGAAATGTCCCTTGATTCTGCAGCAGAGGAAATTTCCTCATCAGCCATCCAGCTGATTTCCCAGAATGCAGTAGACATCAAAGATGATGAAATTCCGATTGTAGTTGAAAATGTAGCTGAAGTGTCCCTATCAAAGGGAACTTTGGTGGACTGTGGTGTCCAATGTAATGAATTCCATGAGCAACTTTGTTTATGTGGGGAACTGAAGAATACTGAAACAAACAGAAGACATCAATTTAAATCTTCAGGTAGTGCTTCTCTTTTTTAGTAGTGATGGTTTACTTTGACTTATCCGTAATATACTGATTACTGAAACTTGAGTGTTATCTTGTAGATATAAAAAAGGCAATTGATGGCAGAAATGGACATGTGCAGAGAAGGAAGAATGGACAATGGAGGGGCACAGGTCAAGGTAATGCATCTTCATTTGGTTCCATCAGGTGTAATATGTTCCTCATAATCTTACAAATATCAGACATAGTGCAGTTGTTCAATCAAAAATACTTGTGTTGTAACTCGTACTGTTGGTTGTGTTTAGTCATTGTAGAGGACTCTGAAGAAGAGCTATGTTTGTACAGCAGGACTGCACTCTTAGTTCACGGTCATTAAGAGGATGCTCAGGGTTCATTATCTTCATGTTATGAAGCTTAATCTCCAGGAAAGATGGAGCACAACCAGCTTTCTTTATCAACTTGTTCAACATTTAATTTTTTGAAGTGGATTATGTCCCTTTAAACGGACAGAAGGTTTTGCTCCCCGATATTTTTTTTTAACCGTTCTTTATCCCACAGAGCGGCAGTTTAACCATCAGGAAGCTCATAGTGGATACTGTAGAGGAGGGAAAACAAAAGGTGAGAATCTTGTTTGCTTTTCTCTGGATTGTTTGACATGGAGATGTTTCTGGATGTCAGTACTTGACAGCGAGGACTTAATATTTTTGGTTTTGCAGGTGGAAGAAACCCACGGTATTAACTGACTGGGCTCAAGACAATAGTTGGTTTTTAAAACGTTTTGTTCAAATTTGAAATGTAACATGTTTTTGTACCTTTCTATTGAGTGTGTTTTGCTGTATATTAAGTAAATAAAGTTGAAATGAAGAATCCTTTGCATCATTGTCTCCAGAGGTTTCACAGTTGTCACCAAAACGTTCTTTATCAGGTTGTTGAGGTTTTTAGGTCCTTGGCTCTAATGCTGCTGATACAGAGATGATGTTCTCAACAACACTTATAGAAGATCTGCAGCATCTTGCTGCAAACTTTGAAAGATCCTGGCTTCCCCAACAAGTACAGGCTGCTATGTCCCTTAATATAGATGGCTTTGCGGTTGCATTTCCAGTTCAGTCTGTTGTCAAGATGAACACTGAGATTTATATTCCTCAACCACCTCCACTTCTCCAATGATGGAAATATGGTTTTTATCCAACGCCGTTTGCTGCCTGCTTCCTCTACAGGACACTGGGTTTGTTGAGGCAGGTGCATAATGGTGTATGAGCTACAATGACTATCTTAACAGAATAAACCAGTTAAGAGATTAGGAAGTGGATTTGCAACTTATTCTAGATCAAGGCACAAGGTTTTGCATGTCTGCCTTAAAATAAAAATCTCTAATAAATGGATATTTAGAGGCTGACAGCTTTGTTCTTAGCTTGGAAAATTATCTTTTTAGCAACACAGTTCATAAACATTTGAGTACAATTTTTGTTTTCAAATGAAGTCCTAGTTGTGATCTAATTAAAAATAGAACCAAGATGTGGTTATTAAAAGGCAAATACTTTTTTACCATATTGTAAAAGGATTTTAACTTGTCTCCACCTGCATAAACTGCTGAGTTATATTTCTACCTCTCAGAATGCAGTTGGGGTTCACAAAAAATCAGTCTAGGGGGCTGTAAGTTGCCCTGGGCAACACTTTGGACATCTCTGCTGCACACTATACTACTAACAATTCAGTATGAAGTCAATTTATTGGTTGATCTTATGATGCATTTTAACTGCATACTGATCATATCAGGAGTTTGCCATATATCAAATCATGACAGCTACTTGAGGTCTATATTGTCATTCTTGCATCTTAAAGTATTTAATATTGATTAATCATCCTACAGACATAATTTATTTCTCAGTACCAAGATTTATTTTCAATCATTATGCCTGGATTTCATTGAAGAATGTAAGGACATAAGTTTCAGATCAGTTTGTGTTTTTAGGTACAAATCTTTGGATCCCAGCCAGGAACACATGTCAATAACAGCAGATAAAGGGTCGGAGGAGACATGAAAAGAGGATCTTTGGGCCAGAACACATTTTATAAAAGTTGCATACTACAGCATTTTTAGAAGCAAGTTCTTATTTTTACTCAAGTAAAAATCTTGAGTGGTACATTTACTTTTACTAGAGTACATTTTTGTCTGTTTATTTGTAATTTTCCTTATATACAGTGTTTGAGCACTTTATCACTGTTGGTACGTATACCTGTACAGCAGGGAGCGCTGCCATACACAGTTTGAAGAGATGCAACTATTGTTATCTGGAAGACTTTAAAAAAATACAATTACAAACTCCTATAAGATTTTTCTCTTCAGCTTCACACAGCACAAGTAATTTTGCACCAAAAATACTTTAACACTAATGTCGAAATGCATTAATTGCTGTGCTGTGATTGGCTGATTTGCGCTGTAACAAACATGCACATTCAGCACCTCAATATCCAAGATATCAGATCTGGAATATCAATAGGCTACTGCAAGTTATCTTCACAACATTTAAAAATAAGTTAGAATAACCAGGAAAGTAAAGAAAAATGCTCTATTAAGAACTAGACATACAAGGCTTAATTACCGATTATATTTGATAATCAACCATTAGAACAAGTTTTATTGTTTTTTTCAAAAGTATAATGATGAAAGAGATTATATTTGTTAGTCACCTTTGAAGATTAAACAAACATTACCAGTGTCTAACCATCAGTCTTTTCATTTTCAAGACAAACCAGATTGACCAAAAGGAAATTATTTTTCTTTTCTTGCTTAATCTTCAGTTACACACTCCAGTCCAATAGGTGGCGGTAATCCGCCCTTAAAGTGGTTTGCCAACCGCCAATAAATACAAGAAGAAGTTTACAAGCTGGCAGAGGAGGAAGAGGGGGCAATAATACAACAAAGACAGTTTATATGTGAAACGTTGTTTTGTTTGTAGAGACAAAGACCAATTTTCTTCTGTAACTTGTTGAGGTAAGAATGTTTCCTGGTTCCTGTAGAGAAGTGCTTAGAAACACCAAGAGCTTCGTGTCTCCAATTAGCTTAGCGATGCTATGGCAGCTTCAGATGGCCTTTCTTGTTGATTTGTTACGTTTTTCTGACAAAGTCAAGTTGTGCTGTTTATTTTTCTATGGGAACCTACGTCACTTTCGCTTACATGCCAGTATAATGTTCTGCTGGTGTTGGTAGCGATGACCTGCTGACGCCATTAAAGCTGTGGTCAGCTGATCAGATCCAGAGTCCCCAGATAGACCGAGTCTTCTGACTGTTCTCAGTGGAAGTAGCTACAATGATTAAGACACTTTTCCACCAGTAGATTGAACTGTTAACGATCCCCTGGGAAGAGACAAAATTCCCAAATTGGGATTTCAACCCCCCCGCCCCATCCATAGGTCCAGCTATTCGTCATGGAGGAGACCAGCAGGGAGGCTGTAGCGACTGCAGTGCAGCGTGTGGCCGGCATGCTGCAGAGGTCCGATCAACTGGATAAAGTGGAGCAGTACCGAAGGAGAGAAGCCCGGAAGAAGGCTTCTGTGGAGGCCAGACTTAAGGTACTTCACCAAATCAAACCAGCAGCACTATAACTGAACTGGAAATGTGTGAACAGTCTATTCTAGTACTCCATATATCGAGTCAAGTACTCAAGCCGGCCCTTTCTAACATCATCAGTGGATTCTGAGGGACATGGAGCCAAAACTGACATATATAAGATTAGCTCAGAGACAATTTGTAGAGAGCTTCTTGTTACCAAAAAAAAATTTTCTGACCTGCAGTCCTGATTTCAGCCAGATAGAAAGAAAATATTAGGCACAGTAGTGCAGTTGGTAGAACTGTTGCCTTGCAACAAAAAGGTTCTGGGTTCGATTCCCGGCCCAGGGTCTTTCTGCATGGAGTTTGCATGAACCTGGTGAGTTCTCTCCGGGTTCCTTTCTGTTTCACACTCCAAAGACCTGACTGTCAGGTAAATTAGCCTCTCTAAATTGTCCCTGGTGTGTGTCCTGTCTGTCTCTGTGTTACCCTGTGACAGACTGGCGACCTGTCCAGGATGACGGATGACCCCACCTCTCGCCCGGAACGTTAGCTGTAGATAGGCACCAGCAACCCTCCTGACCCCACTAAGGGACAAGGCTGTATAGAAAATGGATGGAGAGCTCTGGTTTCAAAAACATACCTGTAGTGTTGCTTTGATTTTGTCTTGCATGTTTGATTTGTTTCTTTCAATTAATTTTCAAGATTAGACGAATGATCTCCAGAGTTGACTTGGAGGAAATCATTCATGCTTTCGTGTCCTCTCGTCTGGACTACTGTAATGACTTTTTTAACTGCCTGGATAAATCCTCAATTTCACGATTGCAGTCAATACAGAATGCAGCAGCCAGGTTTCTCACCCAATCCAGTAAATTCTGTCGTATCTTTCCTGTTCTATATTCACTGCTCTGGCTCCCAGTTGATTTTAGAATTCGTTTTAAAGTACGTGTGCTGACATTACATGGCCACTCCTGATTATCTTTCAGTTTGTAACTAAATATTCTGCTGCTTGTGGTCTTTGTTCTCAAATCTGAATCTCCTGGTTGTTCCACGAACACTGTTAAAAACTAAAGGGGACCGGGCCAGTTGGTGGCCCCAAGGCTATGGAACAGCTGGCCCTTGCAGCTCCGTTTTTCTGACTCTGTGGAGGTTTTTAAAAAGCAACTAAAAACATTTCTATTTTCCCAGGTATTTAACTCTTGATTTTATTGTGTTTATTATGTTGGTTTTATGTTTTGTATGGTTTCAAATTGATTTTTATTGTACAGTGCTTTGTGATTTCATGTCTGTGAAAAGCATTTTATGGATAAACTTTACTTACTT